AGAACACATAATATACTCCTGTTGAGAATATGATATATTTTTATAGAGCACATAACACTATGATAATTTTCTTAAATAACATCGGTTTAAAAGTTTAAAAAACGCTGATGAAAAGTCTAGAAAGTGTTGAAACTTATCGGGAGTTTAATTCTAAGCCCATGATCTATCATGTTGTAATAATTGAGATAAGAAAATAAAGTTAATAAATCTAACATTATTCCATCAGCATTGGCGAATTTAGATCTACAAATTAACTAAGAGTTTTGTGTTCTTCAAGCCTATGGCGCAACCCCTTCTGAGAAAACCGCTAGGGGTCTGCCGTTACTCTTATGATGAGATATGAAACGTAAGGGTTGTTGCATTTATACCTGGGATCACAATCCTATTTATATCCCTTATTATTAACTGGTGTCATCACCCAATTAATAAGTTACCGGGTTTCGAGTTTCTGCACATTAGAGGCTCGCACTTACTAAATACATCTAAGCCAAATAAATTAATAAATCACTTAATATAGGCTTAATTTGACTGATAGCCCAAAGAGTTACATTTAACCCACAATTGGATTTTTAATCCAACAATCTTCCACTTGGGTAAATGTACAATGAATAACCTTATGAGCTCATAAAATTTGATATCGGATTCTTTAATATACATTATCAATCTTATCTAAAAGTCACATCAGTGCGGATCAAAGCGGTCGTCACTGCATTTATCGCAATTGGACCGATCAGTGGTCACAACACTAATATAACCTAAGATTAAATCAAGTGCAGATGCAAAACATGAAAATTCATGTAATGTGATCTTAACATGCCTATTTTCAACTGATCCACTTTAATTTTAATTCAGAACAATTGAACACTGAATTAAAACTGAATACTGCACACTGAATATTGAACATTGAATACTGAACTGTGCAGCATAAACCAAAGTAACTTTAGTAGTATTTGAATATTTAAATCCATATAATCGTCCCATACATATTATCGCAGATGTATATTTCATTCTGTCAATTACCGACTGTCTTTGGGCCGAAGAATAATCACACGAATTAAAATGCACATAAACACTTACGTTATCGAGTAAAAATCTCATATAAGAGAGGTTACTTTGACAACGTCAAATACTTGATCTTCAACGTCAGAACGCAGCATGAATTATTAATGAATTTATAATTTTCTTAAACTAAATTATAATCATAATCACGTTCAATATATACAAGTTTGATTCCATAACAAAAAAAAAAATTCTTATTAGCAACTGGATGCACATGTCTATAAGCTACTGAATGCTCCATATGTGAATTTATAAAATAAATTAGCAATCTTATCACAAGTTATCGAGCAACATCAGCAAATGTCGTTTGACAAATTACTGACTCATTAGTGATAAACTTGTTTTGACAATTGAATGTTGACAATACAGTAGTGTGTCAAACAACACCCTATCTTTGGACATATCTATTATTCACACACAAATAATCACATTATCATCACCACATTCAACGTCATTAAATATGCATGTAACTACTTAATGGTTGAGTTGCCTTTGGGTCTATCAACAACTTTATAAATCTCATACACAACCTTCTAATATATAAATAAACTGATTTATACAACAGAGACTGCTTTGACAACATAACTGTTTCAACAAATTCATAAAATATATTATATTATTTATTGCTAATTAAATTCACGTTAAATAAATCATATATGTATGTCTAATACATATTAAAACTATAACAACAGTAATTAATTTTTGGACTTATTAAAATAATCAAGTAGTCTAAGAAAATACTAAATGCACCGGAATTACATAGACAAAAATATGTCACCCAAACAGATTATAAATTAATATATTAAGTAATTATAGTCGAATTTGAACAAACGCATATTGTCAAAAATACATGCTGATTTAATTCGAATTTAATCGGACTATCAAAAGAATCATAATGAATATTCGATTTTATAAAATCAACATTAATTAATAAATAAATAAATTTTGCGCCTATTAAATTTATTTCCAGATACATTAACATACGGCATATTAATTAATAAATTCTGTAATCATCAAACCGGATGCATATATATAAATTGAACGTCAATCTCAACTCAAATGATTGATTAAATAAATAAATTAATCTAATCATAATACCAAAATAGGGAACAAATAATCAAGTTCTTGATGATGATTCTTTCCAATAAATTTTGCATCAGATTAATTCATGAATAAAAATTGACAACACAATGCATTAATTAATTTATTTTGTTGAAACAAATAAATAAACAAACATACGCCGGACTAACACCATTGCCAATGAAATCATTTATTTTCTGATTTCCATCCAAATATTCAAATGCAGGTCATCTATAATGCATAATACTGAATGTTGTATTACAGTTATATGCTCTATAATTTGGCATAACAATCCTTCTAATTTAATTTTTACAACAATATATGTGTTGATTTCACACGGATATACTCGTATACATGGATAAGAATGAAATTTAACATTCTTATTATTCACAAAATTAACAATAAAATAAATAAATGTGAACGAAAAATATGCAATGATGCAGATCTAATTTTGTGATTTCAATTAAACTTTAATGTCCAATTTGATCAAATAATCAGTTTAATCAAGTCAGTATACCCAAATGTCCAAGCATAAATAATCGGACTAATTAATTGATCAACAATGCACATATATATAAATATATATCCTTATATACAGTATGGTCGTTCACGAATCACTATGCAAATCCAATAATCTCATGCTTAAAAGTACTGAGAATTCTAGAACTATGATAAAACACAGAAACGAAACCAAGTCCTGAGACATAATTCTTGTCTGTTTGCAAGCATCAAGATGGAATTCAACAGAAATTGGGATTTAAAATTCACATACTTTATTAATAATTAATTCAGCCAATCGTGATTCCAATTGATTCGAAAAGAACGAATAGAACATCTAATAAAGATTTGAGTCATGGTCGAATCAATTTGATTAAAAATATATATATAATTGATCTAACCAAATATCTCAGTAATTCAACACAAATCCGCTCTGATATCAATTGTCAGAACTTATCAGAAATTTAACCCTAAGTTTAGGATCTACCGTGTTGTAATAATTGAGATAAGAAAATAAAGTTAATAAATCTAACATTATTGCATCAGCGTTGGCGAATTTAGATCTACAAATTACCTGGGGATTTTGTGTTCTTCAAGCATATGGCGCAACCCTCGAGAAAACCGCTAGGGTTTCTGCAGTTACTCCCACGATGAGATATGAAATGCTTGTTTCATCTAAACCTGGATCATAACCCTATTAATAAGTTACCAGGTTACGAGTTTCTACGCATAGGAGGCCCGCATTTACTAAATAAATCTCAGCCTAATAAATTAATAAATTACGCATAATTTGACTGATAGCTCAAATGGTTACGTTTAACCTGGATTTTTAATTAAACAAAAACCACATGGGGAAGTCAACACGGTGACGAAGAATCTAGAAAAGATAGGACACTATGATGATTTCCTTGATTTATACATACAAACAGTCACAGTTAATTCCAGGTTAAGTAGAAATTCGAAAGAAAGAGATCAGTGAAATACAGGGAGAGAAAGAAATTAGGGTTTGCTAAGCTCTAGGCAAATTAATGTCAGAAAAGAAATAGAAGAAGACGTGTTTGGGCTTTCAGGCATGCAGGGACCATACATACATACATATATATAATTACATATAGTGGTGACTAGTGATCAATTTTGATTTACTGATATACAATGAGTGTGTTCTTTCAAAATAATTTTCTAAATTTTTAACTAATTATTTTTTTTTTCAAAAATATTAAATCAAAACTTATTTATATTACATCGTATTCGCGACAGATTAGAATTAATGATGAAATAACAAATAAAAAACATAAAGAAGACACAAATTTATTGTATTTTACCAACAAAATCTTAGCTACATCCACATAAAGAAACGAAGAACAAATTTATTCACGATGAAAAGCTTATAGAATACAAATGTCATATATTTAAATCTATTCAAATAAACTAAGAGAATACGCTAGACGACCCAGTCCAATGCGAATTCAAAAGCCCAATACTGAATACTGTCGGTTTGGGGATACTCCACGCACCCCTACCCCCAGCGAGACCCCTTTGAAAATTCTGCGAATGACAAACTAAATTTAAGGCATATCAACAATATCATTATTTCAATTCAAAATTTTTATTATTTAAATTTCAAACTCAAAATTCAATCCTCCGAAACAAACATACCATATATTTCAATCATCACTTGTATTGTATGTCGTCTTCCAAACATACCATATATTTCAATCATCACTTGTATTGTATGTCGTCTTCCACTGATCATCTACACTACACACCACAATCAACCAATCTTCTTCAACTCTCTCCAACTCCTCTCTCTCTCTCTCTCTGCTGTCTGGTTTTTTGGGGGGAAGTGTTTGTGTGTACGATGTCTGTTGATCTCTTGTAAATATTTATATTATTGGGTGATAGAAGAAAGCTAGCTTCGATATATCGCTTTCCCATGCATGTCCTTTATATTAATTAACATCTGAGGGCCTCGCTCACTCGCTCTATTACTCCCGTTTCTGAACATTTAATTTGTCCTTAGCCCTGGCTAGCTAAAAGGTTCCTGGAATTTTCTTCTTCTCAAATTTGTTTCACTGTAAGGACGAACTCGTGTCGTTTTGCCTGCTCCCGAGTGCTCTCTCTCTCTCTTTCTTTCTCTCTGCCCAAGACAGACGAATAAAAAGCTAGCTAGTTAAGGTCCTCGTATGGTGTCTATATATGTGTGAGTGCATATATATATTATATATGTATATATATTCACAGCTTGGAGGGATTTAAAAGCTGAGCAGATCTTGTTTTGAAATAAAGGGGAATAGCAAAATTGGAATTAACCTAGAGAGGATAGCCAGTCAGATAGATAGATATATATATCTGAAGCATCGGTCATGGAATGGAACTGTAATGGCAATCCTTATTTTTCTCCACTTGCTGCTTCTTCAGATAATTTTAGCCTTCTCTACAACTACAGTTTCTGCTATGCCTATGAGCACACATTTCCAGGTGAAAATAGCGCTCTCTCTCTCTCTCTCTCTCTCTCTCTTCCTCTCTTTGTCTCTCTAGCTCCTGCTAAATTAGGTTAAATAATTATTACTACTTCAAATTAGGGTTTTCAATTCAACCTTAATTGAATTTACTTGCAGAAATGAATCTGCAGCCACCGCCAATAGACAGCGGCATGGCTTCGAGCAACATAAACAGCAGCGGCGGCGCCGGCGCCGGCGCTGGCGTTATGAACATGAACGGGCAGCCGCTTTTGAATCCTGCAAAGAAGAAAAGTCGAATGAGCAGAGAGCAGGTGGAGTCATTGGAAAACAGCTTCCAGGAGGAGAGCAAGCTCGACCCTGACACTAAAATCAGATTGGCCAACGAGCTTGGCCTCCATCCCCGTCAGATCTCCGTCTGGTTCCAGAACCGAAGAGCCCGACTGAAAGGCAAGCAGCTTGAGCGCTTGTACGACGTGCTTAAGCAGGAGTACCACGCTGTTTCCATGGAGAACCATTACCTCCAGCAAGAGGTATTAATATACACACACATATATATATATAAATCAATCTTAACTTTCTTCCCTACATAATCAGCATTTACGTTTTGAAGTTATTAATCCTAAAATTGAATTGAATTGGATGCATGCAAGCTAGGTTATGGCACTGAGGAAAATGCTGAAGGATCATCAAATGATGAACAAACAAGCTGCAGGATCTTACACAGACGATGAAAGCCCATCGATCCCGGCGAGCTTTGATGGCCCGACCGACGGAAGCAATCCCGGCCCGGCTCATCATCAGCTCGACGAATGCAGCAATAACTGTGTCTACAATTACCGGGCCAACGCCGACACCGACGCGGACTGTAATCTGATGATAATGAATCCCTATACTTGTGGACTTAATTAATTAGTTTCTTGGGGTTGAGTTAATTAGTTGAGATCCATGATTAGTTATGATGTTTATATGTCTTTAGGTATTAGTTATTAATGTTGTTTCTTTAGGGTTTGTTTGTAATGTTGCTTTTCTTTAGGGTTTAGCAGTTTGCCTATGCATTCGATCGGGATGTATGATCATTTTTCTCAAATGTTGAATGAATATTTAATTCTTGGAAATTATAATTATGTGTATCGTATTAATTAATAATGTGATGAATCCAACTGCGGGCGTTAAACAGGAATAATGAGGTCACGGGTCGGGTAAAAAAATTCCGAAAAACTTTATCCATATTGAATGAATAAACTTAACTATATTTGTGAATAAACTTAACTATATTTGTGATTTCCTAATCTATGTTGTTGATTTTGTTGAGTTTTAGATTGAAATTAGCATAAAAAATAAAAAAAATAAATCAAAGGAACTTAATAAAACTTTAATAGAATGGGCTGGAATGAAAGTACACAGCGAAAATAACCAAACATAAACTGTTGTGGCTCAGACTCACTTTTCGATTCTCTATATGGAAGGACATGATTTACAAACTAAGATGAACGGCTGTGATTTAGTCTAGAGGAGACCCGGATCGTGGGTCGGGTCGGGTCATCTTCAGAAATGGGTCGTGCACATGTTAGGATGGACGGGTCACAATCGGGTTGGCCAAAATAATCAACAAACTTGTCCCGTAATGGATGGCGCGTGGGGTTGGACTTGTGACCATAGATCATGGGTTCAGACTCCCGACGCCTCAGGTCACCTGCAATACATGGTTCGCCTAGTGTGACTTGTCTGTCGGGTCTAGTTTGCAGGGTATTAAGTTCGACCGAGGGTTTACCCGGTGCGCACTTTCGACTAAAAAAAACCAACAGCTTAATTAAAAATTTTTTATAATTGAATTCTAATTATGGTCGTCATCATAATTACAATGCCATTTATTTCTTTTTTTTTTTTTTTTTTAACTATGACTGATTCTTTAATTACAATTATTTTATTTTCGTATAAAAGTTTTTCTTATTTGGTTAAGTGAAATAGCCTAGAGTAGGCCTAACTCTTAAAAACACATATCGGTTGTGTTCTTAAGTGAATTTTACCATGCGTTTTTATTATTTATATTTTTTTTCTCAAAAATATCAAGTTAAATAATTTTTTTTTTTTAATATTATACTACAAATTTATTTTATATTCAAAACATCATATCAATCTTTATTTATTTTACATCAAACAACTATTTAAATTGAGCTTTTTAAGATTTAAAAATCCAAACCGAACCCCTCGATAAGGCTATTGACAGATCACATTAGGTGCTCAAAAAATTCCTCCACTACAGCTGTAATTTCGACAGCGAAATCTCGAGTTTGAATCGTGGGGCTCACTACTAGAAAAAATGTTGATAATTGCGGAAATTTGTCGCAAGTTTTAATTCGCGACAATTAAAAGTCACGGAAAGTAATTTTGTGACAAATTTATGTCACAACATTTTGCTTTGACTATTTCGTAAGTAATATTTGCAGAAAAAGTTATAAACAACTTTCCGTGACTATTCAAAGTAACAGCTTATGTAACGAAAATGTCCAAGATATTTCTATTATGTGTCTTTTAACTATTTCGTCACAAAAATTGTTACGAAATTTTTTCTTGACTATTTTAAGTTACGGAAAAAATAACCAAAATATTTGCAACGCTTTAAATTATTACAGATATTGTCATGGTATAATTTTCATGACATTTTAAAATCAAATATCACAACATAAGTAACGAAAACAACTATAAATTTTTCTTATTATCGTTCCTAGCTATTTAAAATAATAACAAAATAATAAAATCATTTTCAATATCTTTAATTTTTTTTACTTGTATTGTATTGTAATTGAATAATTTTTTTTTTAACTATTCATTACTATTTAAAATTAAGTACATAAATATTAGCAAAATCTTAATTATATATTTATTTTTATAAAAAATTCTACTATTTAGGGTTACATTATAAATAATTTTATTTAATTTTAATTTTATTTAATTAATATATATTTATTTAAAGTATTGCAAATATTAACATAAACCGATATTTAACTATTTATAATTACCAAATCAATAATGTTTTTAAATATATTGTTAATTTTGAAATTTATATGATAGATTTTTTAAACAAAATGATTGAGTCTAAAAAAAATAAAAATAAATAATTTATTGACAATAGATGAAATTAAAAAACTCTGATACTAAAAAAAAATACTATATGTTAAATAAATTAAATTATATTTTATATTAATAGACAAACTTCAATTTTTTTGTTAAAAATTCATGATGATATATTAAATAATGATGTATATATTGTTAAAAGATAATTTTATAACCTTTATATAGTTAAAACATAATAACAAACAAAAATTAATACTTTAGAGTAGATAGCTAAGTTGGCATGACATTCGTGTGCAATAGCATTGAACAAAAGTTATAATATAATTATATATATATTTTTTCAAAAATATAAAGTCACGAAATTGTTACAACTTTATTTAATATAAAGTCACAGATTTGTAACGATATTATTTTGTAACTTATTGTCACAAAAATGTCGCCATTATAAAATATTCATGAAATTTTGGTGCAGCTTCTGTTGCTATATAAAGTCGTTGACATGTTGTTACAGAAATGTCACCACTTAAGAAAAAGTCACCAGAAAAATTCAACGGAAATAGTTCCGTATATTTTTTCCGTGATTTTTAGTAAAAAATCACCAATTTGTATTAAAATTGTGACTATTTTTATCGCAACTATAGCTTAATTTTCTGGTAGTAGCCTAGTGCAGGCAAAGCCACGTCGATGTATGTGTTCTCTCAATTTCTTCTCTCTCTCGTTTGCTTTTTTGCACAAACACAGTCGCAAACGCAAACCACTCCCAAACCGAAACAATTTTTTCATCGAAGACCCAAGATATCAACTGCAAGGCGACCGATAAAAACACGGTGAAAATCCTCAGAGCTCCACTAGAAACTCGACAGATGATTATGATTTTGCAATCGTGGTTTAAAAATTTGTCAATGGGTTTCAATTGCGATTGGATTTCTTAAAAGAATTATTGTTATTATTAATCTGTTTATTATCCTTCTCAAATTACCTCTACTCTTCACTCAGCAAAATAAGTTAAATTTAAGTGAAATTTTTTGCTCATTCGTTGATTCCTTGCTATGTTGGAGTGTGGAAGATTTTTTAGGATTCATCGTACTCTTAATCGAAGCCAATTTGGTAATAAATTAAAAAAAGCCACTTTGCATAATTTTTGTGAAGAAAATCTATCTTCAAAATTGTCATGAGCACGTAGGATGTGTTTATTTGTGAGATTTTGGTTTTGAATTTTTTATTTTGAATAATAAAATTTTGAATTGAAATAATTAATTGTTTGATGTTGTTGGATTTTTTGTCTATGTGGATCCACCCTATTTTAGACACAAATACACTCATTCTCGCAGCCCAAACACACCTGGGCCAAACCTGTGACACAACCCACAATCACTTACCTGGCCTGTGACCCGCCATGGCCCGCGACTTTTTTTTGAAGGAACCACTTCGCTCGCGTAAAGTATTCCCGCTGCCCTACCCATGACCTGACCTGCGACCCGTGTTTTTGACCCGCATCCTTTTTAACCTACCTATATAAGGGACTAAGGCAGGGCGCCGTTCTCATAATCTCACTCTCATATATTCTTTCTAAAACTCCTACTCTCTAGTCTCTCCTCTCCTACTCTCGCACCACTTTCCGGCAACATTTTCCTGCGGTTCTTCGATGGTTGTCTTTCTCCTGCTCTGTGGAGTTCCTTGGCATGGTGATTTCCCCCTGTGTTGTTGATTTAAGCCGCAAGGGGCTTATTCAACGTGAAGGCTTCTGTTTTGCCTTGTTTCTTTGTTTGTGGGGGTTATTTTTCTTTGTGTCGTAGGTAAGAGGCCGGTGTGTTTGTGTTTGTCGCATTTTTGGGTGTGTTTTTGTGTAGATTTGTGTTTCCGAGTTGGTTTGGGGCTGAGCCTACAAAAACCAAAAATAGTACAAGTTTTTCTTTGCTTTGTTTACTCGATTTATTTAATAGAATCTTTAGATCCTTTCATATATTTTATAACAAGTGGTATCAGAGCTTTTTGGTATATTTTTACTTTCGAAATCAAGTTTGTCTTTTGTTTTTTTGAGGTTTTTCGGTTTTAAATATTTAGATCTACAAAAGGATCTAGTTGAATCGAACTATTTTAAATGTTCTTTTATTCTTTTCCTTGTAGATCTATCTAATATTGGTTGTAAATCGTTAGATCTATCAAGGATCTAGTTGAATCGAACTGTTTTAAAGTGTTTTGATTCTTTTCCTTGTAGATCTGCTCAAAACCAACCGAAATCTCACTCGATCCGTGCTCTCTAGGCTTGGTCGAGTGCAATTTGTGTTAATCGTGACTTAATCGCTACAAATCTGTGTTGTTTGGTTAAGTTTGAGTCTAGATTTAGTTAGTTTGTTACAAAATCGTTTTATTTTTGGTAAACGAATTTTGTTTTCAAACTTTCTTTAAATAATAAGTGTAAATCGGGTTAAGTTGCCTCTGTTTTTGTAAAGTTTTGTTAAAGATCCTTGTGGATCTATAATTGGGGAGTCAAAATCTAAAAAAAAAATTTAAATCTTTAAGAGTTTGGTAAATATTTTTTGAAGATCTTTATATTTTCAAACTAAATCTTGTTTGAAATCTTCAAAATCTTTAAGCCTTATTTGTTTGTGTTCGTTTTTGGGGTCGGTGGTGTGTAATATATGATCTGTTTCGGGGATTCTAACAATTTGTTAGAAGAGAAACATATTTGTGTTTGTTTTTCTGTTTTTTTGTGAATTTTAGTTTTGGCTAACCCCTATTTTCTACAAAAGAGAATAGGTCTTGTGTTTGTGAGATTCCTGCTGTCTTGTAGGAATATAATTTTTTTGTTGCTGTGCTACGAGGGTAACCCCTAAACTCACCTTTTTTTTTTACTGCTTTGTGTTTATTTTAATTTCTGCATTTAATTTTTGCGCACAAAAATAAATTGTAAAGACTATTGTGAAACCAAGGTTACTAAACTCCGATCCACACTTTGTGAGTGATTCTTGAGTACCTCGGTTGAATAGTCACGAGTGATTGTTTGATTGTATGCGACAATCTGCGATTGTTTGTTCTGTGTGATTTACTTGCAAAATAATCTGTTTTTGTGTGAAAATTAAAATAAATGATTTTATGGAATTTTAAAACAGAACTGGTCTTTTTTGTTTTTAAAATTAAAATCTATTTTTTTTATTAAAAACAAAAAAAAAAATGGCTGGTAGCTCTAGTTTTAATATACTGCCTTTTGATGGAAAAATAGATTTTGCAATTTGGAAACAAAAAATGAGAAGCATTTTAGTCACTCAAAGAATAATTAGAGCAATTGAGCCGAATCATGTAGTTCAAGTTCCTCTAGAGAGGGGAGCTGAGTTAGATGAAATGGCTTAATCTATTATAATACTCAATTTAGCAGATCATGTAATTAGGAAAGTAGGTAAGCAAGAATTTTCTTTGAAATTATGGAATAAATTGGATGAACTATACACTCAAACTTCACTTCCTAGTAGGTTATATTTGCTAGAAAAAAATTTAGTTTTAAACTTGATTTGTCAAAATCAATTGATGAAAATCTGGAAAGTTTTTCAAAATTAATACAAGATATAAAACTTACTGGTGATAAAAAATATTGACGATTATAGTGCTATAGTTTTGTTAAATGCAATTCCTAATTCATACATGGATGTGAAATCTGCTATTAAATATGAGTGTGATTTTGTAACATTAGATGTAGTCATTAATGGGTTAAAATCTAAAGAATTAAATTTACAAATTCATAAGTCCAATAAGGGTAAAGTCATGTATACTAGAGGTACGTCTCCTTTTAGATCAAATAAAAAGGGTAATTCTGAAAATAATAATAATAGTAATAAAACCAAAATAATAGAAATAAATATAGATCTAAAAGTAGAGGAAACAATAGATCTAGAACTCCAAATAAAGGGGGTAAAAGATGTTATAATTGTGGTGATCCTAACTATTTTATACGTGAGTGTCCTGAAAAGAAGATTAATAACATTACAAACAGTAATAATAATGGTAGCCAACACCATGCTATTGAGTTAGCCAATATGACATTACTTGATCGAAATTGTGGTGATGTGTTTACTGTTACTTTCAACTGCTTGAATGTGAACAATGTATGTATGAATGAATGGCTTATTGATTCTGGATGCACTTACCATATGACTCAATTAAAATCGATTTTTTGTGAATACAAAACTTTAGAAAATTGCACTGTTTCCATGGTTGATAATAGTGTTTCTAATGTGCTTGGAATTGATAGTGTAAATTTAAAATTTAACACAGGTTTTGTGCTAAAATTAAACAATGTGAGGCATGTTCATGGTTTATCAAATAATCTGCTATCTTGTGCTGCTTTATCAGATTTAGAATATTAAAGGGAAAATGGGAAAATGATTGTATGAAAATTACTAAGGGATCTTTAGTTGTGTTTAAAGCTGTAAAACATAATATGTACGTTACTTGTGCTGAACCAATTAATATGCCTGTAAACACAATAAATTTTGTTAAAGAGAATAGTGATTTGTGGCATAAGATATTAAGACACTTAAGTAATAAAGGATTAGAAATTTACATAAAAATGGATCCTTAGGAAATGTAAAATTTAATCCAGTGTCCTTTTGTGATAATTATGTATATGGTAAACACCATAGGGTTCAATTTCTCCATCCCCCTAGTGAAAAACGTGAATTATCTAAATCTGTGTTGGATTATTTACATGCTGATGTGTGGGGCCCAGCTAGTGAGCCCACACATGGTGGGTCTAGATATTTTTTATCCATTATTGATGATTTTTCTAGAAAAAATGGGTATTTCTTATGAAAAATAAATCTGATGTGTTTGATATTTTCAAAAATTGGAAAATTAAAATTGAAAATCAAACTGGAAAGAAAATTAAATATCTTAGAACTGATAATGGTTTAGAATTTTGCAACTCTTGGTATGATGATTTTTGTCAAGAAAATGGTATAAATAGACATAGTACTCTCCCCTATACACCCCAGCAGAATGGGGTGGCTGAGAGGATGAACCGGACTCTCTTGGAGAGAGTTCGAAGCCTTTTGGCTTCATCCGGTTTGTCTAAAAAATTATGGGGGGAAGATGTTATGACACCAGCTTATATAGTCAATAGATCACCCTCTATTCGTTTGAATGGTATTTGTCCTAAATTTAAGTGGAGTGGTAGAAAAATTGATTTTTCAAATATTCGGGTGTTTGGGTGTTCTACTTTTATATGTGTTAATAATGACAAATTAAACCCTAGAGCTGAAAAATATGTTTTCTTAGGTTATCTGGAAGGAGTTAAGGGTTATAGATTATGGTTAAGGTCTAGACCTGAATTTAAAACTGTTATTAGTAGAGATGTTATTTTCAATGAAAATGTGATGTCTTGTTTAAATATTGAAAAATCTGTTTTGGATAAATTTGAAATTGATGTTGAAAATTTAGACTCTAGTAATACTCCAAATGAGATGGAGTATAATATTGTTAGTATAGGTGAGGTAGAAAATATAGAAAATGATGCTGAAATTCGTGTAGAATCTGCTGTGAGAGAGGAAACTATTATTGAAATGATAATAGCATTTTTGAAAATCAAAATGAATCTGATTTTGATAATAATAGTCAAAATGAATCTGATTTTGATAATAGTACTCAAAACGAGTTACAAAATTACCAATTGACTAAAGATAGGGGTAGAAGAATCCCTAGGTTGCCTACTAGGCTTGGTGATTTTGATTTGTCTTCTTTGGCTTTTAGTGTATTTGAGAATTTAGATGGTAATGAACCTAAGACATTTAGGGAGTTCATAAATTCGAAAAATAAAAATCAGTGGTTAAAAGCAATGAAAGAAGAAACGAATTCATTATATGATAATAAAACTTGGTGTTTGATTCTTAAACCTCCTAATTGTTCTCTTGTTGATTGTAAATGAATTTATAAAGTTAAACAATAAGATAATGAAATTAGGTTTAAAGGTAGATTAGTAGCTAAGGGTTTTACCCAAAATGAAGGAATAGATTATAATGAAATTTTTGTCCATGTTGACAAATTTACCACTGTTAAAGTCATGTTAGCTCTAGTTGCATTTTATGATTGGGAACTAAAACAATTGGATATTAAAACAGCTTTTTGCATAGTGAATTAAATGAGAAGATTTATATAAAACAACCTGAAGGTTTTGTTGATAAAAACAAGATGAATCATGTTTGTTTGTTAAATAAATTTGTATATGGTTTAAAACAGTCACCTAGACAATGGGATATCAAATTTGATAATTGTATGAAAAATTTTGATTTTATTAAAAGCAAATTTGATTATTGTTTGTATTTTAAGAATGTTAAAAACCAATCTATTTTTCTTCTCATTTTTGTTGATGATATGTTGATTATTAGTCCATGTTTAAAATTTATTGATCACGTGACTAAGTGTTTGTGTGATAATTTTGACATGAAACTGTTGGGTGATGCCAAAGTGATTTTAGGCATGTGTATCACTAGGGATAGAAATAATTCTAGACTGTTTTTTAATCAGTCTACTTATATTTCGAAAATTCTTAAGAAGTTTTCTATGAGTGATGCTAAATCTGTTTCTGTTCCTATGGCTTCTAATTTTGTGTTAAGTAGGGATCAATGTCTCAAATCAGAATCTGATTTTGAATATATGAAACATGTGTCCTATTCTAATGTAATAGGTTCCATAATGTACTTAATGGTTATCCCTAGGCCAGATTTAGCTTATGCTATTAGTTGTTTAAGTAGGTATATGTCGAACCCTGGTTTAGAACATTGGCATGCCTTGAAATGGATTTTAGATACTTAGTTGGTATAATAAATGTTAGTCTTGTGTTTGAAAAACATATTGAAAATGTTAAATTAGAGGGTTTTGTGAATTCAAATTATACAAATGATAGAGATAGTAGGAAAAGTACAACTTCTTATGTTTTTACTTTGTGTGGAAATTGCATAAGTTCAAAATCTCAATTGCAACACATTGTAGCACTATTCACTACAAAATCTGAATATGTTGCAATAACTGAAGCTTTAAAAGAAGCATTATGGTTAAAAGAATTAATAAGTGAATTAGGTTATTTACATCATGTTGTTACTGTTTTTTTGGATAGTCAGTCAGGAATCCAGTTATGCAAAAACCCTGTATTTCATGATAGAACCAAAATATATTGACGTGCGTTTTCATGATAGAACCCTGGCCTGTGACCCGCCATGGCCCGCGACCCGCTGCCATACCCATGCCCTGACCCACGACCCGTGTTTTTGACCCGCGTCCTTTTTAACCTACCTATATAAGGGACTGAGGCAGGGCGCTGTTCTCATAATCTCACTCTCATATATTCTCTCTAAAACTCCTACTCTCTAGCCTCTCCTCTCTTCTCTCTCTTGCACCACTTTCCGGCGACGTTTTCCGGAGGTTCTTCGGCGGTTGTGTTCCTCCTGCTCTATGGAGTTCCTTGGCATGGTGATTTCCCTATGTGTTGTTGATTTGAGCCGCAAGGGGCTCTCTCAACGTGAAGACTTCTGTTTTGCTTTGTTTCTTTGTTTGTGGGGGTTATTTTTCTTTGTCTCGTAGGTAAGAGGCCGGTGTGTTTGTGTTCGTCGCGTTTTTTGGTGTGTTTTTGTGTAGATTTGTGTTTTCAAGTTTGTTTGGGACTGAGCCTACAAAAACCAAAACTACTACAAGTTTTTCTTTGCTTTGTTTACTCGATTTCTTTAATAAAATCTTTAGATCTTTTCATATAATTTATAACAGATGTGATATAAATATATATTAATGTGATGTTTTAAATATAAAATTAAATTTTAGTATAATATAATAAATAAAATAGGTGTTTGATTTGATGATTTTAGAGTGAAAAAAAATTAGAATAGTAAAATTAAAATTAAAACCGCACAAATAAAAACACTCGTAATAAGCTATTTTGCAATGAATTATTGTCCGTGCTTCGAGATGACATACGTTAATTGGAACACACTATCAGCCGTAGATCGTTGTGCGTAAAGAGAATTTCTCAAACTTGTTTTTATTTTTTTTGCCTTAAAACTTATATTTTTGTTGCATTTTCATATGCATTTCCTGTTATTGTAAATGTTGGGAATTCGATTTAAAAATTTTATCAGATTAATCAACACTTAAAAATAAATAAACTGAAATTAAATTAAAAAAATAAAATAAAGTGTAATATTATTATTATTATTTTAAATTATTTTCAAACTTGAAAAAATGGGAAGGTGGTTTGGACCCACTATTGTCGTTTTTAATTATTTTTTTGCTAGTATTTTATAGGCACAATTGGCTTTAAATCCCTATTTTGTCTAATTTATTAATAATAAGTCCCCATTACTAAATTCTTATTCTGCAGTCCCTACTTTTCCATTTCACTCGTTCTTCACTCCCTATCATTTCTTTATTTCTGATTTAGCTCTCAAATCCCTTTCACACGTTGGTTATTCTTCGCGCGGAATTGGGAGTAAAACATGTTAGTCCAAAATCATTGGATCAAAAATCACCACCGTAGCCGCGTTGCCCATAGGCCAACAATCGCGAAGAACCATTTTTTTTTCTTGTTTGATATTTTCGTGCCACTGCGAGCCCTTCTTCTCCGGCGAAGAGCGACGTCGGAATTTTACAAAGGTTAGGACCTCTATTTTAAAATGGGTAGTTTATGTTTCATGAGGTGATTATTTTGTGATAAATCTTACTAGCGCAACACTCCTTCATTTTCTATTTCATTTCGTCTTCACACTTTTTCCTATTGTAATCTCTCGTTAATCTCGCACAAAATTGGAAGGGGAATCTACTCGCCCATAATCCGGTGAACGTGAAATTGTAATTACAGATCACTGGCCTAGATTCCGACAAACACAAAGACCCATCTATCCCAATTTGTTACGGCCATTGGACAACAATCCATTTCTCTTCGAAGAAGACCCACCTTATTGTTTTCGAAAGGTTAGAACATCTGTTCTTGATTGATTGTAGATATATTTTGTGTGGTGAATGAATACCAAATCTCAACCCTGATGCATTTTTCATCTTTTTTCCTATCTCCCATTTAGAAAACACATTATGTTAATAGTAGTAAGGCAAATGTCTAATGCACTTCACATGTTCGATAAAATGTCTCAAAAAGTTACATGTATTAGTGTAAGAGAATTTAATAATTTTTTGTTCAAAGTATTGAGTTATAATTTCACTTTTCATGAATATGCACTATTTTGGAGTTTCAATCAAAAATATATCCTCAATATTGTCATCACTAGTTATTTTTGTGCATTTATAATTTATTGTAGTTTGGTGTTGATATTATAGAAAACAATGTTATAGTGATGGGTAAAATAACATTGTTGGATTGCCTACAGCCTTACTTCTTCAAGTATTGATTTATATATGGTATATATAATTATAATTTATTATAGTCCAGTAGGTTTAGATTAGTGTGTAAAATATTATATTCATGTACTCTAATTGTATAATTTATTATATAATCACATATTTTTTCCTAAGTTGCTGAACATTAATATTTTATCTATTTATGGGCAGAAGCATCGTGCTAAAGTGACTATTCTTCATCCATTTACCAAAAACTCAGAACAAATCAAGACGCTGATATCTTAATTGCAGCTGCAGAAGTACTCAATTTGGTCCGTGATAGTTGGTTAAAGCCAGACACAATTGTTGTAATATTTAAATGTGTAATTTTTTTTTTTTATTTTGAAAGAATGTCCATCAATCCTCTCATTGTAATTACTTTTAGCGTGCTAAACATAATATAATGTTGTATATAAATATACAACAATAAGAGAATTGTTACATTGAAGCTCTTTTGTAAATTTGATGTATTATGGTAGATGAACAGAAATTATGGGTATGTGAGATAGTATTTTATATATGACTTGTTGACAACAAAGGTTTCTGAAAATTTAACAGAGGTACATCGGAGCTCTATTGGAGTACTTTCCTACTCAACTGAGTTACTATTTTGTTAAAAGCTTCTGATTGATTGATATTTGAGTTTATGAGTGTGAAAATTTAGATTATTATGTTATGGGTCAAAATATTTTAGAAAAAATATGTTTGTCCTATTACACAAAAAACACTTGAAGTCCTAGTAGTAGATTACAACTCGCGCTTTCACTTGAATGTTGTTGTTGTGTGTGTGTTACGATGTAGATTACTATGTAACTGGTCCAAAGATTTTCAATTCCTGGCAGAAATTATTTACTCTTAACAACCAATATAGTTTAACTTAGTCATTTATGACTTGTTTAGCCATCTACAAGTGGAGGTTGGACTATAATTGTACATATGCCACACAATATAACGAAGTTATTTCTGACTTATTTAGTCATCTATAGTAAATATATATTATTTATCTTTTCAAACAATTTAAGGTGCCGCAGAAATACTATCACGATGAATTCATCCTTGGTTACCGACAACAAGTGAATAATTTGAACAAAAAGTGTCTGTTTTCCAAGCACATGTTATCAGAGTATATATACTCGTTACTGAAGCATATAATACCAGTATTATAGGTACACAAGATCTGTGACAAGGTATGTTCGTATTTGATGCAGGTATGTAAGTATGCGCTTTGGGTACACACACCGACATTCAAGGTATAAATGATAATTGCTTAGGTATTTTCTTTGTAGTAGAAGGTATTCGTGAATGTGATTGATTTCAGTTGATCCCCTGAGGGGCACAAACTCGGTGAGAGTACTTCATCTCCTAGCATTGTTGGAAAAATTTAAGTACTGTACGTTTATATTTGACAGCTCATACCATACTTTTCAATGGAAAGACTACAAAATATGTATGAGTAACAAAAAAACATAATTTAAATCTAAGTTATTTAATACTTGTTCAGTCATCCATAATAAATATGTGTTATTTAGCTTTACATACAGTTACAGAATTTACGAAAATATTATAATGATGAATTTATCCCTGTTTACAGACAAAAATTGAATATTTTGAATTGAGAACCGCTTGTTTTCCAAGCACAAGTGTCCAGGCATAGATACTAGTTATAGGAGCATATGAAATACTAATTCCGGAGTATATTGGTAAACGACTGAGGTACCCGTTGATGCTAACATGTGTGAATGAATGAGATGTTGTAATATAATGTCGCTCCCATAGTGTTTGAAATCTATTATTGTGAATTTAATTGGAGAGAGTACTCTCCAATTATTAATACTCTCCATTATTAATTTGTAAAACCATTGCATATGCATCATAACTAAGTACTACTCTTACCAACAACACAACTAACTAACGCCATAGCCTATTATTCACCTATATGGATCATGTTGTTAATTTTTATAAACAACTTTTTAATTTTCTAAATTGGTATAATTGACTATGTTAAAGATGAATACATCCCATGTTCGAATATTGTTAAAGATAATGTTATACTTTACTTAATGTTCGAGATATGAAGTATTAGACCCCCCAGACATAAATAACTTAACTTGGGGTATTTTCTAGCTTAATATAGATATATCATTAAATAACCGAGGTCTGTCGTGTTTGACAAGAAGTATGTATCAATGTGATGAGGGCATAAACTTTCGCAGTACATGTATATAATTTTCTTTCTTAGGTGTACCACTAATGTAGTTAGGTATCCATATATGCACTTCTGTTCATTGCAAGCATCACTTCAATCATTGCAAGGTCTTGTAATGAATTAGTTAATTCTAATTTAAAAGCAATATGCATAACTTTTTTGGTTTATTGTTGTCTTCATACAAGGATAACCTTCATAATTAATGAATAACATGTATATGAGCATATATATATATGCTTTTTGAAGGTATTTCGATCTAGTTAGACAGGTACATCAATCTGTTGTTGAGGTACAATATGTGCATTATTGCAATTTTAACCATGCGAAGAATTAATCATACGGCACAATTTATAGCATTACTCCAAACTTTAAGTTTCACCAAATTTAACCTATAATTTAATCCCTCAATAGATCTTAATATAATATCATTGAACATGAGGCATATTAAACAATTCAACCAACAATTCAATCGAAATAACACACTACTCAAATCAAGCACAAATAACAAAACTCAAATAAATCCCATATCCATCCAAATTCATTACAACATTCACTTACCATGTGTTGTTCATTGAAATCTACGGTTGGTCGGTGGACCTTTTAGTATTTTGGTCGTAATTTTACCGCGATAGCTCTTCATATTATCAAACTTGCTGCCGATACTACCGGATTCGCATGGATGTAACACTCGGAGAACATACAGACCAATCAGTACTACAAACCGATAGATAACCGATATGTAATCTTTATCCAATCTGTAAATAAATATCATTAATACACATTATCCAAATCTTGAATTTATTTTAAAGTTTGTCAGAATCTATCAGGAGTATGTAACAATAGATTACGAGTACACAGTAGTCCCTTAAAAGTCTATTACTTATCAAACTAAACCTGAAAAAATGCAATTCGGGGTACCTAACATAATCGCATTTACCAACCCACAAATATAAGTAATTATCGATCAATCAAACAAACAAAAAAATATTAAATTATGCAACTCCAGGTAACTAAACAAAATGTATATCTATAAAATTAACTAAAATCACAAATTAAACAAATAAAATCACCCAAAATTGGTGTCCAAATAAAAACCCAACTCGGTCTACGTAGGCAAACATACGAATAATTTCAAACCCAATTAACAAACACAACTACACCGATCACCCAGGGCTCCTCAACACCGAACCGATCGAGGCATACAAATATTGGACTAAGACTTATACCCCAAACAATCGAACAAACTACGATATAAAATACTAATGTTAGACAAAATAAAAAATCGAAAAAGGTCTTACTTTTTTGAGCTTGTCTTTGGGGATGAGAGTGGGTCAGTTGTTTTCTTCACTATTTTTGCACCGATCGTTCGATACTTGATCACCGAGCGTTGGAGAACACTGGTTCACTTGAAAATGGAAGATGTAGGGTTTAAAATCGGGATGAGGAGAGTTATGGGAGGTTTTTCTGTCTAAACTCCTGTTAAATCGTAAGTAACTGTCTTTATTTTATTATTTTTTTTTAATTCGCAAAAAAAAAAGTACTCGATATTTAACTAGAAGTATATAAAATTATAACGAGGGTAGAGAGGGAAGTAATGTAGGTATATATTTCAACATTAGAAGTATTTATTAATCTATTTCGAGTACTTGTTGTGTTTACAACGGTGAATTAAGAGAAAAAATAAATTGGGAAGCTATAATAAACCTAATCTATAAAGTAGGGACTGCAGACTAATTAATTTTCAAGAGGGACTGATTTACAAGTGAATTTTACTGACAGGGACTTTAGTCCAAGTCTCCCTATTTTATATAATAATAATAATAATAATAAATGTAAATTGCTGCTGCATAAAGCTGAATGCAACTTTATAAAAATATTTGCTGAGTTTTTGCAGTAATATAATTATAGAGAGAATCTCGAATTGCATGCATTTAAGATTCTGTCTCAGAAATCCTATCAAGACGACACCTCATTCACCAGCCACCGCGCGTAGGGATATCTTACAAAAATACTATATAATGAAATAATGTTTGTGTGTTAAACAAGGCGGTTTTAACTATAGACCACTGTTGCTGGAATGCCCGGTCGAAGGTCCTGTACAGTACAGACCTCGTAATGCTAATACAACGAAAACAATTGCAATTTATATCGATCATTATTTCCAAATTCATTTCCACAGTCGAATCCTACGTGCTGTTTGGATTATGAATTTTTCTGGTGGGATTGGAATTTCAGATTAGATTTATATGTGATGATATTTATTATATTTGAGATTTGGAATTCTAAATTATGTGTGATTTATATTTTTCAAATCTTGTTTGTTTTTTCATATGAGTTGAAGTATTTGAATTTTTTATATTCTAAATGACATAATTGTTATCGTATGAATTTTATTTATTTTGATAAATTAAATCTCTAATTTATTATTAATATAAATTGAAAATATATCAATAATTTTATAGAGATGGCAATAGGTTCGCGTTAACTCGAGACCCGACTCGGATCCGACAATTATTTGCGTATTAGGTCTAGGTCATGTTCGGGGTAATAAATTAATAATATATAAACATATGAAAAAATAATTTCTAACAATATAATTATATTTAAAACAATTTTAAAGTTTAACTTATTTATTATTTTAGTATGATATTTTTGTAAATAAAATACATACATTTTAATATATGTTGAGTCCAGTGCATGACAATTTTAAATTAAAATTTAAGAATTGTAAAAAAAAAAAAAATTGGATTTTTCGGATCCCGGTCTTAACGGGTATAGTTTCGGTTGGATCCGGTATAATCAAATTCAATTTGGGTCTGGGATCTAACATTATATATTCGGAACGAATCTCAGTTCCAACTGAATCCGACTAATATTATACCTAAAAAATAATATAAATTTAATTAAATATATAATTTAAATAATAATTAATTTAAAAATTATTTAATTTTATTTTATATAAATATATTTATAATATATAATATTATCTTTTTATAAAAAGATATAAAAGTAAAAAAAATAAAATTTCAAAAAATGAGATTTAAAAGTAACATGGTACTCTTATTACAAAAAAAAAAAAAAAAAAAATCTTTCATTTATAGAATTTTGGACTTTTTTTTTAAATTCCACCATTTTTAATTTCATTTTTATGGATTTTAACCGAACAGCCCCTAATAATTAAGAAAATAGATTCGTATTCTCATACATGATAATTATATAAGAATAAAACGAATCTTTGATTTCTTTGCTTAGGGCCTTTGACTTTGGTTTTT